TCCTGCATCTCTCCTCGTAGTATGTAGGTTATAGCTGAATATTTTTATGTAAATGACATGGCTAAAGTAGGTTAGGTAGCTGTGTTATAAAATCTGAAAGAAAATGCTCTTCTGCTGGTTCAGCATTCATCAGCATTGCAGTGAGCTGTTCAGCCCAGGGAATAGAGGATGCATGTGCTTAGAAGAAAATGGAGGAAGAGATGAAAAAGCCTTGGCCAATTAAATACCTTTTTCTTCAAAATAGGGCTAAAACATCTTTCTGTGCTTCCTCTTCTTCCTTACTTCCCCAGCAGGTGAGTTCTAGTGACAGTGCTGAGCATTGTTTAGCCAGAAAGATGTTATACCAGAGGCTGTGTGTCTAGTCCCACAAGATGCTGTTAAAGATTAAAGGAATCTCCAGTCTTAAATTTTAAACAGCTCTGAGCTCCTTTCTGGGCTAGTACTAATTAGAGCATCAAGGTATATGGAAGTTATAGTAGGGTAAGAACTGCCAGCAAGGAACTGCACTGATAGTTATCTTCTATTTTGTTCATAGGTTCTTGAGATATAATCCTTGTGTAATTATTTTAGCTTAGTTTGTAGTGTTGTGGTAGGGGTGACCAAGGTGAAAGGGTAATGGAGAAATCATTGTCCATATAAACTTCTCAGAAAGGCTGGGGCGATGAAGAATGCCCACAGTCAGTCATTCTTTCTTCAGTTCTCCCTGCTCTTGCCAGTCATTAATTCATCTATATCGTAATCAGGTCTGAGAAAGGACGGAAAGAAAAATTTTGTTTGTCAGTAGGAAGTTTAATTTCATGTTTTCTCTCAATAGCTGTCTTCTTCCTTTGAATTGTCTGAATCTGCTGAGTCAAGCTATTTCTAACTGTGAACTAATCCTGGAAAAAGGAAAAGTTTTTAATATCAGATTTGGTGTCTCCTCAAGGTTGCCTTTTGAGTTTCAGACCTTGTAAGGTTTCTACATTTTCTCAGAAATCAGAAGAAAAGGTTGAGGGGACTGGGCTTGTTTAGTTTGGAGGAGAGATGCCTCTGGGGAGACCTCATTGTGGCCTTCCAATACTCAAAGGGAGCGTATAAACAGGAGGGGGAATGGCTGTTTACGAGGGTGGATAGGGATAGGACAAGGGGGAATGGTTTTAAACTGAGACGGGGGAGGTTTAGGTTGGATCTTAGGAGGAAGTTTTTCACCCAGAGGGTGGTGAGGCACTGGAACAGGTTGCCCAAGAAGGCTGTGGATGCCCCATCCCTGGAGGCATTCAAGGCCAGGCTGGATGTGGCTCTGGGCAGCCTGGTCTGCTGGTTGGCGACCCTGCACATAACAGGAGGTTGGAATCAGGTGGTCATTGTGGTCCTTTTCAACCCAGGCCATTCTATGATAAGAATACATGGTGATTTCTTAATGACAATTGAGACTTAGTTTACCAATTTGGATTATTTAAGGTCTGTTAAACTATATAACAAGATCAGTATGTAGTAGGTTAAAAATTCAATTTTAGGTTTCCTAGATGAATGTCTCGTATACTGCCAACAGGTTCACTGAGGTAGTCAAGAGAGAAGCAGCCCTTGCATCACTTGAATAGAGTCAGACATCTCTTTTAGATGTTGTTGTTGAGTAGTCTGTGAAAAAGTCTACTTTTAATGATCATTAAAGGCTTAATGTGAGGAGAACATTAATGTCTAAAATGATTCCAATGGAGGAAGAGAATTTCTGGAAAGATTATTGCTTAAAAATGTTCTCTACAGGACATTCTACTAAGAATGTCAGGATGATCAGCAAGACACAGGCAACAAGGCAGCTTTGCATCATCTTCACCCTCTTACCTAGGGCAATAGAAGTCAGATTAAACTAGAGGAAGTCTAGTGGTTTAATTTCTGTACTTATATCACTTGCACATGTGAACTTAAAAAAAAAAATTAAAAAGAAAACAAAACAACACAATAAACTAATTCTACTCTTATTTGATTAGTGTGTTAGTGTTCTCATATGTTTTGAGTTAGTAATTTTCAGATAGTGGGTTATTCATGAAGTAGTTATTTCATCTCCTTGTTTTTGCTGTTTTTGTTGTGTGATTGATCATTAAACATTACCAGTAGCTGCAGAAAATTTGTTTGTATGCTGTTTTGCATCTCGAAATCTCCATCCTGAGCTACTTCTGTAGCTGAATGCTGTTCAGAAACAGCTCTTGCTTCTTATCATGTACGTAGTCCTTGATGAAGAGTTTGTTCTTTGCACTGTGATAGCTTGTGATCACAATTTGATTTTTGTTCTGCAAAGTCAAGTAAAATAAAATTGGAAAGATGACAAATGGTTAGAACAGCAAAACTGCTTGCCCTGAAGCCTTTACAAAGGCGAGTCTTTTTCAATTAGTGCCAAAATGTGAAGCCACAGTTTCAGTATAATTGAATAAAAGCAGAGAAAGGAAGGCCAAATCCCTCAGGCTCTCCTCTTTCTATACCTGACCAAGAAAAATAGAACAAATAGAAGCAAAGTGTTTCTTTCTCTAGGTATTTTCTTGCCAAATTCTATTTCTTTAAGGAAAACAAAAATGTACGAACAAACAAAAGCCAAATAAAATTGAAGCATTTTGTTTTACGAGACTAAACCTGCACATAAGAGAGAACCTGAAGTGCAGAGTGAACTGGACTCTGTACAGAGCAAACAGCTGAAGGTGTTGTTCAAGGAGAATCTTTAGATTTGTGCTTCCACACAATACAGTCTCTTTACTTGAAATTTAATTTAAATCAGAAGTATTTTCTGCTTAAATTGTGATACTTTGTTTACTTCAAAAGAGCTTAACATGAGTAAACACAATAACAGTGTAAGTTTTTGAATACAAGGACCATGAAAGCCATGTAAGAGCTCAAGACATCTATAAAGTTATTTTCTTCGTGAGGAAGAATGTAACGTATCTTGCAGTTAAAGGACAATGTTGTTAAAGGCAAATGGAGCTGGTACACAGTTTTTTTCTAAGTGAACTCAGAATTTTTTGAGTGTTTGTTTTGACTTTGTGTGACTGCATATGAATGTCACTGAAATAAGTGATGCTCCACTCAGCAGCATAAACAGCTGCCCCTGTAATTGGGAATTACCTGCATTAACAGGGGAAGAGAGGTCAGTGACTGAATACAGGTGGTTAGTAAGTTGTGTTGAGACTGATGAGTTTGTGTCCTTGCCTTCTAATACTTCCACGTATTTCCTGGAGCGAGGAAAACAGGGAAGAACTCTGAGGAGTAGGGGAAGGAGGAAACAGACTCCAATTTTGCGTCCTCTCTGCTCAGGAATCGGTGCCAGGGGCCAGAGGCAACTCTCCAGGGAGGCACCTGCATGTGAATTTCCCTGGTTTGTTTCTCTGTGCAGGAGGAAAGCATCATTCTGTGGTGTCTCTGCCCTGAGTCTTTGTACCATCATTGTGAGAAGATCTTAATCTTTAGAACTTTTCATTTCTGGTTTGACTGAGGGCAAGCACCAGAAATAATTAGTAACTCAATACTCATTCATTAAGTGAGCAGGCATCTTCTTGTCACTTGTTGTGCATGCCAGTAAGGAACCATTGCAGGTGAGGGATGGGGTTAAGCATATTAGCAATAAGTGATAGTATCTAATTTGAAAAACGATACAGGTGAATGGTGGATGGATCATCTGTGTTCCTCTTCCCTTGCTATCTAGTACTACTGCAAATTGGATATCTTGCTTCTGAAAATTGTTAATGACAAGGAGTGGAAAAGTGCGATGACTGCTCTGCAGTTCTGCTCCATGGCAGTTCCACTGCCCTGTTCTGAATGCCACGGGAGTGGCTCTCCTATCCCTCTGGCAGTAGTGTGGGTCTTCCCTGTACAGTCTACCTTCTAGTGGTAGACCCTAAAAGAGAGATGTTGTGCAAGTATCACGAAATGGGATGCTACAGCCTGAGGTGTGTTCTTCATTTTGTTAAAACTCAGGATGGCCCCATCTTTTCTCTTCTTGGACAGTTTCCCCTCCTCATGGCGTGCTGCTGCTCCTTGGAGGAGTACCCAGGGAAAGCTGGATGTGGAATTCAGCATTTACTTTTCTCGTCTAATTTAGTGGCTCTTGGCCCTGCTGCTGAAACATTATTTTCCAGACTGTGGTAAAAACTCTGTTGAATAGCATAAGGTCACAATTTGCTTGAAGAGCAGCATTATATCTTTCTGCAGTCACAAAGCAGAAAGTGAATTGCCAGCAGGATGTGCGTGTTCTACATGAACTGCTGAGAACTACCTCTTGTTTAATTAATATTAATTTACTATTTATAAAGTGATAACAAGATTCTTGCGGCTTTTATTACATCTGCTTTTAATTTTAAAGACATTTTAATCACTTTGCATGACCATATTTGTCAGCACCAGGTAAATATGAGATGATGTGACCTACCCTATTGAGACCAGTTAACAGGTTACACTGGGAAATAATATGCAAACTCATTTCTCCTCTCTTATCAGAAGAGATCAGTTCCCGAAGTGACATAGATATTGTTGGTGTAGGTGATACGTTAAACCATGACATCACTTTAAACCCCCAGGGCAACATTAACACCCTTGGGAGTGCATTATCGCTTCAGCCGAAAGTCTCAGACTTTCATTATATTGAATTTCCTTCTACTCAAGGGAGCAAAAATGATGGGTGCAGTCAAGAATCCCTTATTTTTACCTGTTTGCAGTCAGGAACACTGAAGGGTCTTATTTCTTTTGGTCTTTTCATTTATTTCATCATCATTCTCCTTTCCTCCCCCCTCATTTCACTCGACACCTGTCACTACCTTTGTGGATGAGATAAGCAGAGAACTCTGTCAGTGTAAGAGAAGAGGAGCAGAATATGCCTGCAAGAAGAGGGACAGAGGAAGAAGAATCGAGCCTGTGCTGGGCTGGCAGATGAGGGAGAATTCCTTTGCTGCAGGTTGCTTTCTGGAGTGCTGTAGGTGGGATCTCCTCGTTGTACTGAAGGTAGTTGGGAGCAAGTTTCTCTCTTTGCTTTTGGAGTAGTCATGCTGCAGCAAATTTTGCGTGATATGTATATCGACCCTGAGCTCCTGGCAGAGCTGAATGAAGAGCAAAAGCAAATCTTGTTCTACAAGATGAGAGAAGAGCAGCTGAGGCGCTGGAAGGAGAGGGAAGAGAAAGCACGAATGGAGGAGGCTATGCTGACAAAAACAGCAAGGCGCAAACAAAGTAAGCTTGTAACCTCCTCCTATGCTTGTTCTGGAGCTGGGGAGATGGGCATGCAACTGGCTGTGATACAGCATTTCTGAAACAGATTACAAGGAAGCTTGCCAGCTGTCCCCATAGGCAAAACAGGCTTGGGCAGCAAAAACACAGTTTCTGCTCTTTGTCTCTCAAGGCTAATTCTTTCTCCAGGGAGTAGTTTAGTGTGGGAGCAAGGGGAATTGTTTCAAAGTGACTCTTTCAGACAGAAATCACCTCTCCCATTTTTTCAGTGGTAACTGGAGATTACCAGGTCTCCCACTACTGAGGCTTTTTTCTTTGCCTGCTATCCCTTTACTTGCTCCTCAGTCAAGCGGAAGGCAGGCTTACCTGTACTGTTGAGGTTTCTTAACTTGGCGCTAATTGTTTACGTGTGACTGGGTCAGAAGATAGGTTTGTGAATTGGAGCTGCTTGGGAAGGGTTGACTATGAATAAGATGTAATGTAAGAACAGCCACACCATGTGAGTTTAGATGTCCAGCTATACAGTTTTGAATAGATGATTGAAAATAGCACAAAAAAAGAGAAATTGTGGGAAAAAAGCCATGAAGATGTGTTTTCATGGGATATTTAGTGAAGCTGCAGAGCTCCATCCTCAGTCTGTTATGTGTGCTGAATGTGTTGGCTGAGAAAGCAAGTGAAACTGTGGGGAATAAAAGAAAAAAAATTTTCCACTTGGTCATTACCGAGTGTTTGATCTTGGGTTCAACTGGTTTAGAATAAATAGAAATATTTCCTTGTTTCTTTTGTGTAAGTGGCTTCCAACTCTTTCCTCATCTAGAGGATGCATGATAGAAAACTATTTTCTCATGAAAATGTGGTTGCAGCCATTCCTCACTCAGCAAGGAGGTGTCACAGAGATGTGTCAAACACTCCCTGTGAAATGCTAAAGATCTCATCCAATCTTTAAATCGATTTAAGTCTGAACATTCGAAATCACTAATAATCCTGGGTAGCTGATTACAGCTGCAGTCACTATGTAAAGTGTTGCTCCTGTTAACTCTTTGCCATAGCAGAAGGCTTTGCTTTGAGCACCTCAATGCAGATACATTATTGGATTCAGTTGTCAGACTTCTTAAGAAGTTTAGAGCAGCTGAACCTTACAAAGTACTGGGTATATCCAGTCAGATACTTGGCAATTCAAACACTATGACTAAAGAAATTTCAAAGCAAAATTAGTTTTCAAGACTCACTTGAAGCTAGGGCCTTTGTAAAATGACTCCAGGGTAGGTAACAACGGTAGCCTAGAAATGAGGGGGGGAACATTAAGAACAGTCTATTTAGTAGTGAGTTTGAAGTGTCCCCTGACAGATGACAAGGTAGAAGTTGGGAAACCAAGTTGTGTCTAATTTCTGTTTTCTTCATCTTAGTGTTCTTACAGTGAATATCTCTCCTCTAAGAAAGATGGCATCAGGATCTCTTCTCTCATACAGCACAATAACTTTGTTCATCTCGATTGATTTGTAGCTGGAAAAAAATATTAAAAATGTCTTTCAGATCCTTAAACCAAAACAGCTGTTTATCATCCAGATAATCTGCATTATGCTCATTCTTTGGGAAAGATGGATGCAGCAAACTCTAGCTGCAAAAATATTTATGTGATGATTTGTCACAGTGTTGACATCTAAATTTCCATATATAAACTATGCATTAAACCTGTTCAGCTTCCTACTACAGGAGACTATTTTCTGGGTAATTAATTTTCTGATTTATAAAGAATTAGAGGAGGAGGAGAGGAGCAACACAGTAACTTTTAGACTGCGTTTGTACTGACAAAAATGTTCACATTTGCCTAGAGTAAAATGTCACATCAACTTTCTATTTTACGTATTACCAAGACTGCTCTGAAAGTAGTGCCTTGTATTTTACTATGTTGTCCCACAATGTCAGAGGCAGATGCTCATAATATGGCATTAGGGCCACCGATACCCATTACATGTTGTTGCCATGAGACAGATGGCAGCAGAGGGGCAGTCTGACAGAATGGTGTCTGACATGGAAGGGCACACGTAGCAAAGATGTGTCATTGAATTCCTCTGTGTGGAAAAAAATTCCAGTTTTGACATCAGTTGTCACCTGTTGAACACTTATGGAGACCAAACAATGGATGTGAGCACAGCGAGGCAGTGGGTTGTGCTTTTCAGCAGTGATGTGAAAGACGAGCCACATATCATACACAGCTGTCACACCACTAAATGAAGAGCATCTTGATCAGCTCATCCATGTGAATTGATAGATTATGACAAGGGAACAATGGATGGAGCAGAATCTTGGCTTCAAAGCATTGGAAACCATGGTGGCAATACACAGGACGAGAAAGAGCACCATATGGTATCTGTGAGGACCTCTTGAACTAATAGGAAGTTGCAGATGATAGCTGCCTGAATTATGTCATAAGAAATGATTAAATGTGGTGTTGCTACTATAAGCCACTGTCAAAACTGCAGTACGTGGGGTGGCTACATGGGTTCCCTGCTGAAGAAGTTCAAGACACAGCCCTCAGTGAGTAAAGTTATGTGTACAGTTTGGGATAGAAAAGGGGTGATTCCTCTGGATTCCCTGAAACCCACACAAACCACCAACTCTGACTGCTACACTGTGACCCTGACTAAGCTGAAGGCTTCAACTTCCAGAATGTGGCAAGAATAGAGGATGACCTTTCTCTTGCAACGTGATAATGCCAGGCCCTATACTGCTTTGAAGACTGTGGAGCACACTGCCAATCATGGCTGAACTGTACTACCATGCCTGCCATGTTGTCAGGATTTGGTGCCTTCGTGAGTTCAATCTGTCTGGGCTGATGAAAGATGGACTGCATGGGCAATGTTTTCTGAGCAACAATGCCATAAAAACAGCTGTGAAACAGAGGGTCATTTTGCTGGTGTGGATTTTTACAAGTGTGACATATGGGCTCTTGTTAATTGCTGGTGAAAATGCGTAACTAGTGATGGTGACTGTTGAAAAATAGTGCTGTGTAGCTGGGAATGTGCTCTCTCAAACACTGTTATTCTGCTCTGTGTATCTGTTGTAGTTTCCATGGAAATGAATAGGAGGCATTACTTTTGGAGTGACCTACGTACCTTCTTAAATTAACAATATGAATTATCCTTTCGGTTTGACTGAAGATAAAAGCATACCACATCCAAAAGAACTGTACTGGAGAGCTGATCTTACAGAAGCTTTTGAGAGAGAACTATTGAAATTAAAAGTTGAGGAAGTCAGGCATTTGGTTCCACTGAAAATATATCTTAACTTTCATGATCTAATGTTTCTAATCAAATGGCTCTTCCATTTTTCTCATAGATAAAATATTTACTTACGAAACCCATACCCTGCCTCTTTGGGAGGGAGTAGGGTGAGGCAGTGCAAAAGGAATTGGTAATAATAAACATTTCTTCAGAAGTGTTCCAGAAGGTGCATGGGCTTGAGCTGCAGTCCTATGCAACAACTGGTACAATTCTCCTCCGGTTCAAGAGCTCACCTTTTATTACTCTGCAAAACAAACAGCAAATCAAAAGGGGTGCATTTCTCAAAATTTTGCAATGACGGTGAATGCAATTTTGATTATTTGGCATTACCTTAATGTCTCTGCCAGGAAGGTCAGCTCCATAATCTTCTCAGGCATGGAGCTGAGGCTCACCAGCCTGTAGTTCCTCGGTTCTTCCTTTCTCTCTTTTTTTAAAATGGAAGTGATGGTACCAGGGACTGCGCTCAGCAGCCACAACTTTTCAAATAGGACAAGATATCAGTGAAAATGAGAGTGCTGATGTGAGGTGAAGAGTGGTTACACAAAGAAGGTAAAACACTAAGAAGGTTTCTGGTCTCTAAGAGCAGGACTCTAAACTTGCTGGAGAAGGGCTTAGAGGAGATGCCTTGTCTGCTGCAGGCTGCTGTAGCCATTCCACTCTGATCTTCTTGAGTGTCATCCACGTCAGCTCTTTCCTGGAAGTCCTGGTTTGAAGTACAGCAAGCTGCACTGTGTAACTGACTTGCCATACAAGGCAAGATATGTTGTCTTGCAGAAACCACGAGCCCAGAGTAGGGGAAGAAAAGGGTGGCACTCATAGGTCAAATAAAAAGATTATTTATGTTCTTGAGTTAAAACCACCCACAGGTTTAGGGGATGTTGCTCAGTGTGATAACTTTTCAATTGTTGTGGAAACTAACTAGCCAAGTCCCAAGGCCTACAGTGATTTTTTATTTTTTTTTATGGGGACACCAAAGAACAGAGATTGTCTTAGTTGTCCTGTTAAATGCTATGAAGCTTGATGTAAATTGTTGAGAGAGTTTAGCAATAAAAACAGTATAGCATTCTACATGAAATCAGCCTCAGTCTTTGTGTCTGAAGAAAATAATATTAGCCTTCATCAGTAACAGCTAAATCATACCTGCTTTTACGTTTGAGTTGGTTGGTTTGTGTGTCTTGAGGAAAAGGTCACAATTGAGATTTATATCAGACTGAGCCAATGTTAAAGATAGTATTTTATTTTGAGCGTGAATGAAATGTTTTCATGGTCTTCAACAGCTTAAAATTCCTCCCTTTCTAAAATATAAATCAAGGTGTTAGAGGAATACTATAAAGGAGTCATTTCTCTGGGATGAAGTATTTCCTTTAGCTGACAGTGAATTGCTCTCATGCTTTTACTGTTTCTACCAAGCCTGTGTTTGTACTTTCCCTAGAATGTATTGGTAGAATTTGAGCATTGCTTCGGGATCCTCCCAAAACAACATTATTTAATGAATTTATTCTAAGTTCAAGCAGGTATTTTGAAGCTTTTATTATGACTGATGGCTTTTTCTGAAAGAGCTTGAAAAAGGAATAGTTAGTGGAATTTAGAGGTTGTCCTCTATTTATAAATAATTCCTTTGCTGATCTTTCAGGGATATTTCTTCATTGTAAGAAAAACAGGTTGCCTTTTCTCGTTGTGCTAATACCTCTAAGGGAAGCCTCTTCAAAAATTCAGGAT